GAATCCCAGTTAACATAGTATTTCACTGACTGGAAAACTCCTCAGACTGCAAAATGCCGATTATTTTATGTACCACTGAAAACTGCAAAACAGCTGATTAGACTGTTGTGCCCCTGAACATAAGATGCATCTCAATCTTAGAGATGTTCAAATGTGAAAAAAAAATCAATGTTTTATAGTCCATGCAGTACAAAAAAAAATCATTAGAAGGGAAGTATTCACACACACACACACATACACACACAAGGCACAGATAAGGCAGAGCATAAGTGCAGTCAAAACCCAAGCTAATCTACAGTACCCCAAGAACAGCCATAGCACACCATAAACCACACTGTCAGCAAACAGGAAGTACTGGCATTGGACACAATGTGCTGGCTTATGAACCCCCCGTACATCCGACGCCCTGGTTTCCTCACAACCATCCCATGAGACAGGCAGGATCAGGCCATTTATTGCCACTTTACATCTGGAGCTCAGAGTGGTCTGCTTTGATCCAGGTCCCTGGAACCTAGAAGGGGAGACTCAGGGTAGCAGGCCCTGTCTGCTTGTCCACCATGGCAAATGTTTGACTTCTAGAAGACTCAGCTAATGAATTTATATGCAAGTGGCTTTTAAATTCTTTTAAGAAAAGTGTTTACACATCTCAATGTAGAAAAATAACAGGATTGGAGTTGTGCTGGGTGAAGCCACAGAAAAAGGCCAGAACACTTGCTCCCCAACCCCCTGTCTCCCATTCCTTGAGCTGGCCCCCGAGGTACCTCCACGGAAATCCTGAGGCACTGAGAAAATTTTTTCCTGTACAGTTTTTAATTTTTATGTCTTTGAAAGGAAGAGTGATGGGGGCAGGAGGAGACACGGATGAACAGAAACCTTCCATCTGCTGGTGCAGAAAGAACATAGACTGTGGGAGGGCAGGTACAAGCAGTAAGAGTCCTTGACTTTGAACAATCTGTCAGTTGAATTGCTTTCGTGAGACTCGTTATCTGTGTCTCTCTGATCCTCCACTGGCACATCAGCCTGTAACCACCCTCCACCATTCCCTATGCATCAGAAGGAGTTGAAAACACAGCATTGTTGAAGATGAGAACGCAATCTAGGTGCTAGGCCTTCAGCTCTCTTCCTAAAGTGATGCATGCAGAGGCCGCATGACCAGCTTTCCCACCTTGTCCAGACCTCAGCCTCTTCCCTTCAAGGCCAGCACTTGCCTGTCCCCTAAGCTCCTGGCCTGTTTTGCTCCTCTGTCTCTGGCTCTGCACTTAGGCTGCCCAGGGTTGGGCTTGCTAGCAGCACGAGAAGAGAGAAGGCCTTCCCCACCTTCCCAACCCCTGCCCCCAGCTTTTGTAGCCAGAGATCTTGCCTTTGTTTTTTTTTTTTTTTTTACCCTTCATGTCCTTGAGCTGGTAAGGGGGTTCCTCTAGGTAAAGATCTATACACCCAGCCCTGCATGGCAGAGAGCCAGTGGAAACCAGAAATGAGTAGAAAGAGCATTGGTTTTGGGTCCTAATAAGACTGGTTTCAGATCCAACCTCCTCTATGTGTGTGGGGACCTCAGTTTACTAAAACACTGTCCAACAGGCCAGCATGGCAATCAATTCACAGAGCTACTGTGGGAATCATGAGAGCTGATATGAAGACAGGGATGGGGTACCATGCCTGGCCCAATGTTTCAGCTGTTACCCTGCAGAGAACCCGAGGTGGCCGCAGTGGACATGAATTTCTCAAGTTGGCCATTTCTTAAGTCCTAAGTCCAAGATAGCAAGGCCATTGCCCACTCATGCCCTGGAAGGCCAAGTCTTTTGTCAATGGAGAGGCCCATGTGTGCACTGAGTGCCACTCTGGCCAGCTGTGCCCTTCTAGTAGCACCAGCACTGGCAAGAGTTGGAACAGGACCTCTGCCTGGAATTGGGGTGGTGGTACTCAGCATTAGCCTCAGGAATGAGCCCCTGACTGGTCCCCTGAGGACAAGCTTATCTCATTCACATCTCCCCAGGAAAGGCTGAACCACAGCTGAGTTGTGCTAGCCCTACACCTGACTCTCAGGAAACTTAGATTTAATGGGCCTGAACAAACACCATACGTTTGGTTTTAATATTGCCTTCTCTACTTCACTCACCCAGCCTGGGCCAGCTCACTGTGGGGTCCCTTAGTGCTCAGCACACGTGGCCAGCAGATAAGCTGAGCTGGGAGCGAATGGCCTGCTGGGTCCTTGACAGCTTTGGTGGAGGTAGGCGGTACGTGGGCACTCAAGGCCGTTGAGCCACACTGTTCCTTGGCAAAGCTGCCCAGCAAGAGGCTCAGTTGCCCTTGGAGGCTCTAGGCAGCCTGGAAGGCCAGTGGGCCCTTTTGTCTAACTTGTAAAGGAGAAGGCTTTTGGAGAGGATTCTAGAAAACAAGGCCAGGACTCCTGGGTTCTCATAAATCTCTTAATAACAGTACATAAAGAAAGCATGGGGGATTATAAGTCCCACCCATGGTGCACAGGCTCCTTTTCATTCAGGGATGCTCAACAACAGAAAAACCCAAGAGCACAAGACTGAATGCTGAATACACAAATTTAGGACCATTTATTTCCAAAGGTGACTGCAGAAACCATTTCATCAAGCGTACAATCAAGAGGTTTTACAAAACAGAGAAAACATATCACCAAACATTCCAAAAGGTGAACAAACCGGGGCAGGGTGGGGAGGCAAGGGGGTGCGCACAGAACACCCAAGAGCCAGTCTGACAAAAAGAACCTGTTGCTGGTTAAAGGAACCAGAAAGACTGCTTCTAAAGGGAACCACTGTGTGGGGGTTGGGGATGGGGTGCTGTGAGGGGTCTGCCTGTTACATAGCAAGGAAGGATGGAGGAGGAGGTGCAGCAAGAGGTGGAGGCGTCTGCCCATTTGCTGGCCGGGATTATCAGAGGTGTCTCTATCCTATTCCCTTCATCACAGTAGCAGCAACATCAAGGATTCTTTCAGACAACACAGGTTGACATGGAAAGAAAGTCAAAACAATGGCTCTGCCTGAAAGGAACTTTGTTTTCATTTGTGTGTGGGGGGGGGGGTCTTGTTTGGGTAGGAAAGTGTCACAGATAAGCAACAGCAAGCAACTGAATGTTCCTGAGCACAAATCAGCTCACTTTATAGCCTGCGTCCCTCCCTGCTGCTGCTCCTACCCACCTCAGACAGCAGCAGAGAGGCCCCTTCCCAGTCTGGGTCTTGCTAAGGAGCCTGTGAGAACCTGCAGGAAAACTCCCCCTTGTGCCCATTCTAGACTGAAACAAAGCAGCACTAGCACCTTGCTCAACCATGTCACAAGTGGCCTTTCTTTCTCCTCTCTCATCTTGCTTTTACCCAGAAGCCATTAGGGGCAGCCTCTTCTTACACAGACAGCTGACTTCAAGGTAGACAGCTACAGGTTCAGGGAAGTCTTTATGGCAGTGGGAGAGAGAAAGGACCATTCTGCCAATCATTCACCCCTCCGAACTACCCAGCAGGAAGACCAGCTTACAAGCTGCTGCCCATGGGCATCTCAGCCTATGTCACATAACACTGACTCATCCATCAGTGATCACAAACATCAACGACCCTGCAAGCAACTGCTGTGAAGGCTGACGTGGGGGACTGATGCTGTGGCTCCAGCACCCTGCAGTGCCCTCACAGGCTGACCGAGGAATAGGGTACTGTGCCCATCAAGCGGAAGATGGGCCAGATTCCCCCAAGGTACATGAACCGGAATCCTAGGGGTTGAGTGGGCTGTCTGCACATGTTGCTACTCAGAATGGATGCCATTAGTTGGCCAGCTCGGTAGACTTCTCCTCAGCCCAGGGGCGTGGATAAGGCTACTTGAGGGCTTATGGGAGCTCTTTTTTCCCCTTCCCAGAGCTGTTTGAAAGGAAACCAGCCATGTTTATGAACTCTTTCTTTCATACACCCACTCACCACACAGAGCTCCCACACAATGGCAAATGGCATATGGTAATTTGGCCCGAATGGTTGGGGAACCACCTTGGTACTGACAAGAAAACCCTAGCCCTGCTGAGGAATGCAGAAGCACACACCTGCTAGTTCCCAGGGGTATAGACATTGGCTTCCTCCTCAGCCATGAATCAGCTACGAAAAGTGGGGCAGAAACACATTGCTTTGGGAACAGACTGGCAGCTACCCCTAAACAGCAGCCACTGTGGGCCTGTCCAAGTGCCCTCTATTTACATGGGGTTGGCCCAAGGTCAAGATGACATACAGACTAGTTCAGATACCCATTGTTGCCCCAGCACCCCAAATGCATGCCAAGGCTCCCACCAACTAGTCCCTTGACGCACAGCTTTCTTCACCAACCTGCCCCACCAAAGCCCTACATACCCCATCCCGCCCCCATAGCCTCTGGCAGGTCTCAGTCTTGGGCCCACCTTTGCCAGGCATATAGCTTTCACTTTGTTCTCTCCTTCCAAGTATGGGAAAGTGCTCACTAGAAAGGGACACTAAGCTATTACCAGGGCAAACCCAAACAACAGAGGCATGCCAGTGCAAGGAGAAGCCAGGCTCACTGGCAACCAGGGCCATTCTACAAGGGTGGCAATCAGGGTCCATTCACAACACTGTGGCATTCCTGAGCTGCACCCTGAGTGAGGCACAGATCTTCAGCCTAAAAAAGCTTGGCCTGATAGCAGATGAGCCAAGTTCCTAAGGCTGCCTTCACAACCTCCTTCAAACCTCTCCCTTTGCAATAACATATAAAGTCCAGGGAGAGCCAGGGAACTTGGTGTTCCTACTTTTTTGCTACCCATGCCCTGGGGACTGCATGTGGCAATGCCAGCAGGCCTCTAGGCCTCTCCAGAAGGGCACTTGCTCCGAGGATTGCTTCCTTGACTCTCAACTCACACCACTAGACTCTGCTATCATCAGCAACCTCTTGGAAGGGCAAGTGCTAAAAGTAAGAGCACGGAGTCACTGAAGCCCACATCTAATATGGCCCAACATCAAACCCCGGAACTGGCCCTGGGCAACCGGGTTGCCTAGAGTCGGAGAAGGGATGGAAGTGTCTGATCTTTTCTGTCCTTAAGCAAGCCTGTTTCTGGTAGAAGTCAATGAAGAGTCAGCAAATGCCCAGTCATTGCCTCTTCTCCCAAGGGCCACACATGGCTGAACATAGGTCTTTTCACAAGAGCCCTTCCTTCTGGAGTGCTTCAGCCTCTCTCAGTGGGGATCTCATTCCTTGATGTAACCTGGACACAGGCTCTGGGTGTGGAGCATGTGATGTCGCCTATCTTAAGCAAGTCAGCACTGAGTCTTGGTGCATGAAAAAAATCTGGCCCAAAGGAAACAACACAGGCAGGAGCTGTACTTTCCCCAAAACCAGGTTTGACATCCCCTATCAAACCAAGAAATGGATCTACAGGGACCCTGCCAGCAGGGACCCCAATGCAAGGAGTCTCCAATTTCGAGTAGTCCAAAAGGAAAATTCCAAGCCCCCAAGCACCTCATCTGTAGCTCATTCTTCTATGAAGCTGCTTTGAACAGAGAACAAGAACACAGAGAAGGGGTACTCAAGATTGAGATGAAATGACAAAATTTATTAGCAATGTCAAGCTAGAATGGAGTGCATGGTTCAAATCACAGTTTTCTCAAATCACCACTTCAATTCATTTATTTCTATGTTCACTACTGATTGTGATATGGGCTGGTTCTCAGCTCTCATGGGCAGAATCTACACAGGGCCCTGACTAGTCCTGGCTACAATTTTAACCCCCTACCCTTTGGATTTGTCATTGCAAGGTTCTCCTCAGCTGCCTTGGGGGAATACACTGCTTCCCTTCTTCCACAGCATCCTGAAGGCATAGGCTGGTTGGCTTCGTGCTTTGAGTCATGGGACATTAGGGGGAAGAATCTGGCCAGTTCTATATTGCCCATGAACTGGGAAATCCCTCAGCTCCGGGATTGCCGCTGGTATGGAAACAAGGCCTCGGTCCCCCTTAACTGTGAGGTCTGTGTAGGAGACAAAAGGGGACCCCAGCATAAGCATGGGGGTCCCTGGCAGTGGAAAAAAAATGAAACACAACCTACTTGTAGCACTTTGATACCACAAAAATGTCTGCGTGTTGCTCCCTGTCTCCTCAGGCAGCTGAAGTGAAAGCACCAACAAGCAGAAAGAAGGAGCTGCTGACCACCACCTTGCCACATAAGGCCACTAGGAGCAGGGGAAAGAACCAACAGGGAGGAGGAAAATGCCAATGTGCTTCAGGCCCAAAGAGACAACCGGGGGGAAGAGCTGGGGAGGGAAAAGTGGAGGAATTAAAGGATGGGGAATTGGGGGTAAAAATACACCAAATAGCCTACTGCCCTCTCCCATGATTTCATCAAGAACTGGGTGTTCTCCAAGGCAAGCCAAGACTTGCTTCTATGGGGAGAAAAAAAATAATAACAAGCACCTTCAGTCTATTTTCTTGGCTGGAAGCCGGAGCAAATCCAGCAGATATTTACACAAGGGCCCAGCCATGTATGAGAACAGGATAACCAGCTTCCCGTGGGTCATGGTCATGAGAGTCTGGTGTCCCGAGGCCCAGACGCGATACCAGGGGCCGTAGAATGGGTCTGAGATGGCCGGACACAGCATGTTGTTCAAATTCACTTCGGTGACCTGCAGGGACAAGGGAGGTAGAGTGAGCGTTCACCATCCTTCGGCTTTCTCTGGCTTCTGCCAGTTCAGCCATCTCTACCTATGAGGAGACTAGACAAGCAGGGATTGACCAATCCCCACTTGCTCATAAAGGGTTTCTGTCCCTAGAGGTGATGGAGGAGTCTTGCCTTCCGACTGGGTCGAGAGTCCGTTGCCACTCCTGAGGGTCAACCTCAGAGCAATGTGATAGGATAAAAACGTAGTCAACACTATGGTCCCTGCCTCCATGCAGCTGCCAATCAATCAAGCAATCATGTGATCATGATCAATTTGCTACATCTGACCTTGAAGCAGACAATGCTGAGTTTTCCCATTACCACGAGGAGGTCTGAGGAGAGTACAGAGTGGAGGCTGAGTCCTCAGAGATTTCAGGAGGGAGGTGGCCCCTGAATGGACTCATGAATGATGGATGTCATGGGGAGATATGGCGAGGAGGCGGTGAGCATGGCCTGCTTTGTAGGAGGTGTGGCCAGAGCATGGTACGTATGATGATGTGAACACACTGATGCCTCTGGGGTCCCCAAGCCCAGCGAGGAGCAGTGCTAGGCCAGGAAGGATGTGCACGTCCTTCTGTAAGCATGGGAAGCATTCACACTATTGACAAGGAGCTGAGATTCGCCCTGGTAAAGCCACACACCAGGGTGCGGAAGAGAACATGCCTGCTTCCACAGAGGCCCAGGGCACATCAGACCCACAGCCCAAGTCACTCCAGGTCACGCGAGCCTCCATTAATGCCGCCTATACACTAGACATGCCACTAGGACCTGGCTCTAGAACGGCCATGGCATCTGCCTGCCAAATGCCAAGACTTTCACATAACAGACAAGTCCTCAGCACCTGACAGGGAGGTTGGGGCTGTACACCACGTCACAGAGAGGTGAAGTCTGCCTTTGAGAAAGTAGTGGCAGAACTAGGATTTGAACTTGGCACCCCTGACCTCTTAGCCCTGAGCTCTCTGCCTACTCACTTTGCCACCAATAAACATCCTGGCACTCATCAATCCTGGGCTCTGGACATCTCAGCTACAGTGTCCAACCACTCTCCATACTCCAGGCAGTGCTGAATACCTCCAAATGCCATGGGGCTCCCCCAAAGCACACACTTCAGCTGAGAACACAATTCAAGGCAGGACCTGCTGACAGCCCTGGGTGAGGGTGCTGCCTCCCCATGGGGTCCACAGCATTTCACTTGCCAGCTGCTGACCCCAGTGGCCATGAGTGAAGAGTGTCCTGGCCTCCCCGGGGATGAAAGAAACAGCCATTACTGAAGCATTCCGAAAACTCTTTGGAGAGGCCGAGACTGTGGACCATAAATCAGCAACCCAGACACAACAATCTGACGTCCTGGCCTTTAGCATCTTGTATCTTCAAAACAAAACGATACACCAGCGCCAACCAGGATTACCAAGATTTATGGAGAACTCCAAACAAAGGGGCTAGAAGGGGATGCAACCAAACTTACCAAGCCGAGGATCTGCAAGATGCTGAAGTGATAAAAGAACATGAGGCCAGTTGAGAGAAGAGCCCACCGGAAACTGCTGAGGGGCTCTGGGGTGTAAGCACCTGGAGGAAGAGGGGAAATGGTGAGACAGCAGCCACGGTGACTTCCTTTTCAAATGCCCCTGCAAGGGTGCAGATGCTGAGGTCACAACTGCTGCCTGGTGAGTGTCCCCTTCGCATTGATCAACCACAGCTCCTGAAGAGATAGCCAACCCCTTCTTGGCCTCTGTCCCATCACTCAATGCTGGCATTGTATGACAAACACAGGAATTCTCTGCTCATTGTAAAAAATAGTATGTGCTCCTTTAAAGGAAATTTATAAAGGTCAAAATAGAAAAAGAAGAAATAGTTCCCTAGCACCATACTATGGGAATGAGGCCACAGCCAACACAGGAGTGTGTCTGCTTGCTCATTTTCTCTATGTTTCTGGATGTCATTTGCTTTCTTTTTGTTGGTTTGTTTATTTAATAGCTCAATACTGCTGGATATTGTAATTTTATGGCCTTCTGTTCCACATTTATCTCCTTGTGGTTCAAAAGAGAGTATGAAGGAAGTACGGGGTGGTGGTTGAGAATGTAAACTGAAGTCAGGCACATTTGTTTGGGTTCCAATGTTGATGTTAGCACGTGGCTGATGTGGAAAAAGTCATTTGAACTTCCTGAATTTAGGTTATTTGCCTGGAAAATGGGGATAACAGTATTACTTCAACTTCTAGTTGGCAAGAGTAAATGAAGCAATGTATCAAGTGCTCTTAATTCAGGGTCTGGCACAATATAACTGCCCGATGGGACATTACACGCTGTCATTATCATTATGATTATTCAAATCATTGAAAAATGTGCCATACCCAGTGATATTTCCCAGCTATTGGCAAACTCTTCCTTGAAGCATAAGAAATGATGTAGTTCCCCAATACTGGTGCTGGCATCCCAGTAGGCTGAGAGGTATTCTAGATCTTGTAGAACAGGGGCAAGGTTTATCAGCTAATGTATGTGTTGCTCTGAATGGAGGTGTAGTGGCAGTGCTAAGAACGAAAGGCACCTGAACCCACTCCCACCCCCGCCTTAAGTAACCAGAAGTGACAACACTTTGTAGAATGGTATTATTCCAAGTCAGTCTTTAGCTGAGTCATCCACTGACACAGCAGTTATTAGGTCGCTAGTCTATTCCAAGCATTAATCAAAGCCTTAAGGATGAGAAAATAAAGACAGGCACCTGAATAGGCATTTCATGAAGAAAAAGAAACACTGATAGCCCAAAGGTATAGAAGAAATGCTGAGAAGGTGGGTATTGTGTAAAATGTTAAGGCGCAGCTTAGAATGCTCACATTCCAGTCAGATTGCCTGTGATCGTGTGCCATCTCTGCTTCCAATCCAGGCTCCTGCTGATGTGCACGCAGGGAGGCAGCAGATGATAATTCAATTACTTGGGACCCTGCCTCCCACATGGGACACCTGAATGGAGTTTCTTGACTTTTGGCTTTGGTCTGGCCCAGCCTTGACTGTGAACATTTGGAGAGAAAATCATTATGAGGAATACCTCTCTCTTGACCTCTTTCAACTTCTTTCAAACATATTTTTTTAAAAAGTCTGAATGCTCAGTATCATCATCTAAATGCTCAACAGTCAAGAGGGAAATGCATTTCTTTTTTTTTTAAGATTTATTTATTTTTATTACAAAGTCAGATATACAGAGAGGAGGAGAAACAGAAAGGAGGATCCTCCGTCCGATGATTCACTCCCCAAGCAGCCGCAATGATTGGTACTGTGCCGATCCGAAGCCGGGAACCAGGAACCTCTTCCAGTCTCCTGTATGGGTGCAGGGTCCCAAGGCATTGAGCCATCCTCAACTGCCTTCCCAGGTCACAAGCAGGGAGCTGGATGGGAAGTGGAGCTGCTGGGACTAGAACCGGCACCCATGTGGGATCCTGGCGCGTTCAAGGGGAGGACTTTAGCCGCTAGGCCATGCCACCGGGCCCGGAAATGCATTTTAAAACCTCAAAACCACAAGGAAATACCTCACTCCAGATAGAGGAGGAAGGGGAACACTTTCACACACTGCTGGAGGGGACACAAGTTAGTATATTCAATATGAGAAACACTGTGAAAGCTGCTCCAAAAAAAGCTAAAAATAGGCCTATCATAGGAACCAACTATTCCCCTTTTGGGTATACGTCCAAAAGAAGTAATATTAGCATATCAAAAAGATACCTGCATTCCCATGCTCACTGTACCACTGTTCACAACAACTAAGACAATAAACCTAGATATTCATCAACTGATTGGCAATTAAGATACACTCATACACACACTGAAACATTACTAAAAGTGAAATCCTGACATTTTCAGGAACATAGATGGAACATATATGGTCATTATGTTAAGTGTAATAAGCCAGATATTAAAAAGACAAGCACCACATGTTCCTACTCAGATGTGGACTTAAAGCCAATCTGAAATTAGAATAACAGTGACCTCCACAGAGGGAGGTTGGATAATGGGGACCAAAACACAGTTGGCTAGAAGGAAACTTTCTAATTGCTCTACAGCACAGAAGAGTAACTACAGGTCCCCACAACAGCCACCCTGTGGTGTATAAAGAACTGAAGAGAGGAGCTGTGAGATTCCAAACACTAAGAAGGTAAGGAGAATGCTAACCATCTGATTTACATTGTATGCACATGTTGAAAAACTGCAAGCTACCCCCACAAAAAAAACACAAGTATTAAGAATTAACTTTTTGTTTTAAACAATAAAAGGAAGCCCAACCTGCTGAAATCTCAGACTCATAGTCACACTGTGATCAATGGAATGATGGAGATCTGTGCTGCTAGTGATGGCAAGACCAACCTCTGGTGAGGATGGTGGTGGGCAAGGTAGGCTTCTTGGTACACTGAGCATGCGTTTGGAGTTCTGAAGAACAAATATGACTTCAAGAGGGATCACTGAATTTCAGCATCCACATGCACAGAGGCGGGCAAAGACCGACAGACAGTGAGCAGGCTAAGATGCAGAGGTTGGCATGGCTGGTTTGCTCCAGGCCAGGCACTGTAGAGCCTAAAAAAACATGCTGCAGGCTTCAGGCTTCATGCCATCCACCAGGGTCAGAAGCTTCAATGCCTCAAGTCATGAGAAGCAGTGACACGAGTGGGGTCTACAAGGCTTGAGGGAATACTAGAGAATGGAAAACTGGAAAAGGCCATGCCCCTCCAAAAGAGGAAAAGCACACCTCAGCCCCATGCAGTAACTGCCCTGCGGGGATGTCAGCCCAGGGGTGCCCAGTTTTCAGTGTGGAAGGAAAAGCCAGAAAGAAGAACCTTTAATGTACAACTTGATGATTTTTAAATGTTGGCAACTAACTCAAAATGTTCTAAGCACACCCGAAGGGTCAAGCAAAACATGTCTTTTGGATGGAATTCAGTGCCTGGGTGGCCAGTTTGGAGCTCTGCTGTAGGACCACAGAAAGTAGGAAAGGGATGTGACCACACATGTGCTTGCAAAGCATCACCCCAGCCATTGTCAAGGGCAGGGGAGCAGGCTGCAGCAGAGAGATGCAAGGCAGGATGACTGGCCAGGAGCCTGCTGCAGGGACCTGAGCAAAGAAGATGACAGCGTCTGAGGGTAATGGCACTGAAACTGGAAGAAAATGGAGACATAGTAAACAACATAGTAGAGGACTGAATGTGTGGAAGAAAGAAGGGGGAGGGCCAACATGTCGCGGTAAGCTAAGCCTCCTCCAGTGGTGCTGGCATCCAATATAGGTGCTGATTTGAGTCCTGGCTGTTATACTTCCAATCCAGTTCCCTGTTGATACCTGGGAAAGCTGTGAAGGATGGCTCAAGTCCATGGCTCCCCGCATTGGAGCAAGACTAGTACAGATATTTTACAATATTTATTTATTTCGAATGTCAGAGTTACAGAGAGAGAGCATGAGAGACAGAAAGACATATTCCATCTACTGGTTCACTCCTCCCAGATGACCACAGCAGCCAGTACTTGGCCAGGCTAAGGCCAGGAGCCAGTAGCTCATCTGGGTATCCCACTTGAGATTCAGGGGACCAAAATATGGGCCATTTTCTACTGCCTTTCCCAGGCCATTAGCAGGAGGCTGAGTCAGAAGTGAAGAGCTGGGTCACAAACCAGTGCATATGTGGGATCCCAGAGTTGCAGGTGTCAGTTTAACCTGTTATGCCACAATACGAGCCCCGAGACTTAGATTTTTAAAACCTAGCACAAATCATGTATCTACTCTGGGACCTTAAATAAGTCTCAATGTCCCTTGAACTCAGTTATACTTATGTATATGATAGGACAGCTCTGCCTAATTTCACAAGTATTTTAAGTACATGAGATATGGCATAATTCTGGCACAGTATCCTGGGACTTAACAAATGCTGGTTATTTTTATTATTAGTTATAGATTCTGTGAAAAGGATGGAACCAAACATCCAGATGCAGGTAGCATCAACTCCTGGTGGGAAGCAGTCACAACACTGTATGTCAACTGAGGAAAGAAGAAAGTTGGAGGTTGAATTCCAAGGAATACCACGTAAGGAGGGGCTGGAATGTGGTGGGGGGTGGGAGATGGAGTAAGTAAAGCTGGAGTCTTCTTGGGCTTACTCTATGAAAGAGCAGCCCCATAATACTTACAAATTAGGGGCTCCTTGAAGCTGTAGATCTCATGCATCCAATATAGATGAGGAAACTGAGACTGGGAGACCACTAGCGCTGCTGAGTAGCAGTGCTAAAGTACCAGGGAAACACTGACCCCATGGGGAGACTCCCTGCTCCGTGCGCCTGGAGCTGCTTGACTCCATTCCCAGCTCCCCAATTCGCACAGTCTCAAGGTCCACATCCACATCAAGCTCCTTTCTGCACTGCTAGCCTCTAGAGGGACACCTGGCAGGCACAGAGACACTAAGCTTGACAAAGGATGTGCACTTGCTTGCCTGGGAGTGAGGGTGAACCGGAGCCCTGTTGTGGCCATGGCTGCTGAAGGTTCATGGAGGAAGAAGAAACCTGGGAGAACCACAGGACCCAAGCCTGCCTCACACATCATCCAGC